AAAAACAAGTTGATCGAGGGGGAGAAATTGAGCAGACTTTGAAGTTGTGGCATTTGATAGCGAAGAAGTTAGCCTCTTCATCCAATTGTGTCTTTCTTTTGGTGAAAAAACTGCTTAGATTGAAGACGTTTGACGAGATCTAGATATGATTGAGGAGGTTGGCACTACATTGTGCCCAAAAAATTATGCACAAAAGGTCAGTACCTAGCTGAAAATTTCTGTAGCTTGTGATATATGAGTTCAATGTTAGATATTCTACGACAAGATCTAGATATCACAGGGAAGGTTAGCGCTCCATTTTGTCTAAAAAATTCTTGTGTGATGTATGAGGTAAGTGTTGGATATTTATGACCAATGGTAGCAAGCTTAGGAGCAATAGAGTCTTCTTGTTGTAGGTACTTTTCAAGAGAAGGGTCATCTTCAAGCTAAAGCGAGAACAATGAGTGAGAAAATGAGACATTGAGTGTTACAAGATTCAGATTGTTGACGGAGTTGGATCCAAAGCTCTATAGGTGTATTTTTAAAATCTGAAATTGAAGGTAGAATGTAGGAGATGGATCCAAAGCTCTGTAGACTTGTATTCAAAATTTGAAATATAAGGTAGAATGCCAGAGTGCACGCTGTCTTCAATCAATTATATGGCTTTGATGCAGCGCTTGTAGATGTCTTGTTGACGGGCGCCATCAAGATTGTGAAGCAGAATCGGTTGATGGATGTTCTCATCCCAACAAGCTTTGATGCAAAGAATTATTTTGAGGCGGATCTATCAATTGAGATAATTATCATGCCCAATCAGCTTCATAGATTCAAAAATATTTTAAGCTTTGTCCATAGCTAGCTAAGGTCCTAGAATAAAAAGTTCTCTTCTAGAAATAAAAAATTTGCTTAGTGAAAGTAACAAGACTAGCCAATATCTGATCCAACATCCGCTAGCAAAACAAAAACGAAGTTCTTGGCTTTGATATCATGTTATAAGTAAGAATTGAACCCAATATGTTATTAGTGAGAGTATGATAGCTTCAGTAGCAAAGAAGATATGTATAATTGAATACATTGACCGTCATTATAACCGACTGATAAAAAGAAGAAGAAGACAAAAAGATCTAACACAACACATATTATAATAAGTTTTTTATTATACTACACTTGGTAACTATATACTTACTAAATATACTCTTGTCCATGATTTATATCAATTTAAACCAAAACTAAAAACCAATCAATACTCTAAAAACCAACCAATGAATTGAAGTCAATGATAATATCTCAATAGATTTTATCCTAGATTAAATTGTATGTAAAATATGACTGCGGTGCCAAGGTGATTCAAAGATGCCTACGTAAGACAAGTTCAAAATTTGTAAATTATTAGCAATGGGATAAATTCGACTACAATGACCTTATTTATGATTATTCTTAATTCATACTTGTATTTTAACAATTAGCCTAATTTTTTTTCATCACCTTATGTAGCAAAACTTAAGACTTGATCTTAAATTGTGCTCTAATATAAGTATGTCTTTGTATATAAGAAAATATGCGCAGTTCTTTTAACAAATTCAAATTATTGAAAAAAAATGTTCTTCAATTAGTTTCAGTTTCATCTTTGAAGTGAATAAAATTCTTCAACTTATTATCTAAAAACTAGAATTTCAATTTGAAGTTATGATAAAAAAACCATTCTCTAAATTGATACGCATTGTTTGTGACTACATTTAAATTAAAATATTTTCAAATCTATTGCATCTAATCATGATTTTTTAAAATCTAATATCAATTCAAACAAATCTATTCAAATTTTCATGAATTTTAATTCTTATTTTTTGATTCACTTTGATTTTTATTATTTTAAACATTGGCTTTAGCATTTATTTACATCTCTATACAAAAAAAGATGAAGTTGTAAAGTGATATCATATTCAAACAAATGTGATATAATATTACATACAAAGTAAATTTCATAATTTTTTATTTGTTCAGTCAAAAAATATATTCATGATTTCATTTTATGTTTATTTTTTATTATTTCTGATCAAGATTTCAGGTGAAAATATATATATATTTCTTGCAATCAATTAGAAATGTACTCATCTTTACTTTCTATGTTTCATCCAGTAAAATTTGAAGACTTTGATTTTAACAAGTAAAGTTTAAACTTATCATGTATTTGTGTCAAGGCTATTGAATATTGACATAAAACACAATGTTACAACTTTTTTAATGAACAAGAGTAGAATATGAATCCTAGACATTCAAGTATAAACAAATGAATAAAATATACTTCATTATGTTTTGAGTAAATTACTTGATGGTCCCCATCCTAACTTACATCCATCAAAAATTACGTTTTATCCGATTTGATCCCACCGACAGCACACTGTGGCTAAGTTCTAAAACCTGTTCTTGTACATATATGATGCAAGCTATAGTGTGAGGCTTTATAGACTCCCAAAGTTTGTATCTGATCTTCTAAGAAAAGCTGTAATTGAAAAAATTGATTTAAAAAACTTCTTTTCATCAGCTTGATGACAAAGTTAAGAACCTGGGATCAGATGAAAAAGTCACAGATCAAAGACGTGAAGCGCTGGAGATTGTGCTCTTAATGACATCATGACGATGACATCTCTCGACTTTGTGGATGAAGCATATCGGTGCTGGATTAAGATGTTAATTTGTCTTTTTTCTTTAAAACAAAAGCTCAATCTCACCTCAGATGCAGGAATTTGATAGTTAGCTACACATTCTTGCAAGAGGATGAATTTGAACTGGCTTTGAATCTCGCGCACGCACGCTTGCATTTGTCAATCACAAAATCGGGTTGTCTGTGAATGAGCTTCAGTAGGTTTAAGTCCGAGCAGCCTCTGATTCAATCTTTTCAAAGCTTGCACTTGATCATTTAAAGACGTATTTGGTTCATCGTGTTCACGGAATCCGACATGCACCAATGCAAGCAGTCTTGAGGAGTTGATCGACCTTGCTCATCCCTCTAGATTTTTTTCTTGATATCAAGATTCTTGTAAGATCTAGGATGACCATTTGCCCTGAGATTGAATGCTTCAAAGTTATCCAACAACGCGAGCGGAATGATGATGTTGGATCCGTCTCTCATTTACACACAATTGAACTTGCATACACTGTCGGTTGATATTAGATCATTGATGATGTGTGCCGTAGGTGGGATACAATTGGATAAAACAAAACTTGATGGATTTCAGTAAGCAATTTTTGTTATGATGAGTAACATCAAGTAACTCTTGTTTTTTTCAAAGTTGTATTATTATGATGTTATTTAGACATATTCTGATAGGTTTTTCACAAAAAATCACAAGTTTTTTTAAACATTATACGAAACATCAATTTTATCCTATTTTACAACTTATAGTTTACCATTTATTTCCAAAATTCTAAAACAAAATTTGATTCTATTTTGAAAAAAATCATCTTTTTAAATTTTATTATTTATGTTATTTATTAAACATTATTGCATGCAAATTGCTTTGCTTTGATAACATTTTAGCTGAATTTTGTTCCAATCTCTTCATCATTCAACATTTAAGAGTATTTTAATTTTTCACCATTTTAGAATAAATTTCTTATTGATCTAAAATTTAAAAATTAAACATTTAATTTTTAGAAATATAAAATTTGAATGAATTTGAATTATAATTTTAAAATTTTCAATATAATTAAATTTTGAACTATCAATAGAATTTTTTAAGGTTTAAATTTTCATATGTTTCAATAAATATATATATATAATTCTTATTTATATTGCATTCATTTTCCATCACCAAAAAATATTTCAGTTTTAACCAATCTCTTGTTTAAATGAAAATTTTTTATATTCAACTCATATGTATACAAAACTTAAAATTCACTTTTTGATTGTGTCATACATTATTAGATATTCAAAAGAGAAATCATCCTTGTATTTTTTTCTAATCTAAATTATTCTCATTGAATTTTGAAAAAAAAAATTGAATATTACCAAAAAAAAATTCAATCAAATAAATTTGATTCGTTCAATTTTCCAAATCTATAATAATTTTATATGATGTTAAAAAATTTAAATTTTTTTTTCTATCTTAAATATGATAGGACTCTTTAAACATATTTCTAAGGTAATAAATTCAAATTTTCAAAATTTATTATGAGATAAAAAAGTAAAAAAAATATTTAATTGAAGAGTTTTCAGTTGAATGAATATTGTATTACAAAAATAGAGATGAATATTTTCACAAGTTACAATACACAACATATATATATATATGTAAATAAACTAATAACATATTGAAAAGCTTTTTATTTGTGGCATAAAAATATATCCAGAATGGCATACTGATATGCTCATAATTTAATGTCAACGAAGACACATAAAGTTGCGTTGCTCTAAAATAATAGATTAGACATTGTTCCTAACGAGTAAAGTGTTGACCAAGTTTCATATTGTTACACCTTGATCAAATTGGCTAATCAATCAGCAAAACAATGTTCCAAATCTCCTCACTTTTGCATACTGAAGAAACTTGTATCTAATTGAGTCTAAAATAGTATTGTTCTAAACTCCATCAATATCTTGATTCTATAAAATCCATGAAATCGTTTAAGATATTATGTTGTACTTGAAACAAACACAAGAAGTTACCTTAACTTAAAAATTATCAGCATATTAGTAGTTTTGAATACCAACCATGTAATCATTTTCTCATATTACATCAATGTTAGCTTATGTGTCAAACTCTCACAGCATCGTCTGACTTAGATAATTTTTACATCTTAGGTTATGCAGAGTAGACATTTCTATTGTCATCCCGAAACATGTGATCTGTGTCATCCAGACGATTAGTCGTTGCTCATTAATGTTTAGACATCTGGATCTTAGTCGAAGTGCTAAATGTGCTTTTTCTACGTTTGAAACACCCAGTTAGATGTCAGATTTAGGACTTTTCATTAGTAGTTTATGGTTCGGAGTATGAAACATGCAGTGAAAGGGATTGCTTCTACCGGTTCTGTCGGTTGCACTGAGATAGAGTGGAGTCAAGAGTGACCGGCAGGCAGGCAGGCAGGCAGGCAGGCGGGATCGGTCTCCGTGGCTCGTAATCAACATCATCACGTCCAGCTCTCGCCGTGGTAGCGAAGGACTGCCGGAGGGCGCCGCGCGTCTCGTGGTTGTCGTTGGCGCCCAGTTCGGACTCGGTTGGCGCCAAGCAGAGTTCTCGCAGGGACGCTCGGCGATCGCTCCTCGTGAAAGCCGAAGCTCTCGACGGAGGGCGGCGAAGAGGACGAGGATTGGGGCTCGGAAATCCGTGCGCCGCGCTCGTCCTGCTCCTCGATGGTGATTCTTCTGAACGCCTGTCGACTTGGCTTCTGGCTTCTTCCGGTTTCGAACACCGCAGATTGTTGTGCCTATTGAATGAGAGAAATGTGCGCATCCGCAGCGATCGTTTGATTTCTGCCTCTGAGCTATGGCGCCCAAGAAGGAGAAGGAGAAGGATAAGGAGAAGAAAGGGAAGGACGGGAAAGAGCCCAAGTCTCCAAGATCTCCAAAAGGAAGTAAAGATAAAGAGCCCAAGGAGCCGGCTGAGCCATCCCCACCGCCTGGTGTGAAGCTGATGCCCTACGAATCGCCTTTCTTCTTGATAATTCTTCACGTCATTGTCAGCTACGTGATTAGCGCTCATCCAAACGTGTCAAAGCAGTTGCACCAATCTTGTTTTTGGTGCGCTTCTGAACGAGAATACGCCAAACTTTCTTGATAAAACAAGAGACTCAGACTAACAGTCTGTTGCACCTACGCTTCTTCTTCACCTGGCAGAGCCTCCTGAACCCACCAACGGATTTTCGAAATTCTGGTTTCCCAGCGGTGCTACTTATGGTAAGCTTGTCACACCCTAAGTACTGAGGCAAGACGACATCATGTCTGAGAACTTTCGGAAAGACCTTGGCTATCACACTGACAGATTTTGCAGACAAGATCTGCCGTAATCGATAAAAAAGGTCCTGTCCTTTCCTGTCCATGTCACCCTCACAAGATGGATCTTTGGCTCCAATTCGCAAGTATAATCCTCAATGTTTAGTTCCTTTTTGTTATTCTGCTGTGCATGGTTGTTTAACACTAGGGTTGCCGGCTGAAATTCACAGAAGGCGAGTGGATACTCGCACCAGATCCAAATGCGGATCCCGAGACCGAGCCCCAGCCAGAGAAGGAATCCAAGAAGGGAGGGAAGGAGGCCAAGGTGAAAGAGGACAAGAAGAAAGGAGGCAAAGAAAAGGGTGAGAAAGATGCAAAGGAAAGCAAGAAGGGAAACAAGGACGACAAGGACAAGGACAATAAGAAGGTCGACAAGGACAAAGACAGTAAGAAGGTCGACAAGGACAAGGATGAAAAGAAAGAAACTCTTGAAGGCGAGGCACCCCAAGCAGAACCCGGTAAGTCTGCAGAGATGTGAAAGGAATTGTTTAATATTGAAGCAACAAGACAACAATTGAGCTACTTTTTGGGATGACAGATTCTGTACTAAAGATAGTAGATCTCATCACATGGAGAATTCTGAAAGGGTCGGAGTGAGCCAAGGTCCATGTACTATTTGGATCTAAGTTGTGGACCCAACATGGCATCTGGTTGTAGTGTTTGCCGTGAAGCACTGCGCACCATCCATAGAATACAAAGAGACAGCTTATATGTAAAAGGATGTGAGTGAGTATGAAATTCAGACGGACGACGCAGGCTTAAGTTATGTCAGAAGTGGTCCGCATCTGTCAGAAAATCGAATGATGGACTCAAAACAAGAAGCTCGACGACTCTACTCCACACAGCGAATTCACATGTCCATACCCCAAACCATACAAAGACCCTGAGAACTACCCTGACCTCATCTATTTGCATGCTTCAGAGAAGCTTCGACCCAATCGTGTTCGCCACGGCATGGGAGTCTACATCGATGGAGACTACCGCTACGAGGGGGGTTGGTCGATGGACAAAATGCACGGCTTAGGTACCGCACCAGACAAGAGATGTTTTAACCCTGAACTTCACACTGGGGAAAAAAAAGATTCAATTGGTTGGTTACTGACGGCTGCGCAAACTCAAACATAGACTGCTCATGGCAGGGATTTTCTATTACGCGAGTGGAGCCTCATACGACGGGAACTGGGAGATGGACAAGTATTGTGGAGTTGGAACCTACAAGGTAGCCTTCCATCGTAACAGATTTGGCACACAGATCTAAGTGCAGTTCGGCCGAACACCAAGTCGCACGCTCTGGTCGGCGAGCAGTTTAAATTCAAATTCTCCGTTCAGCCGATAGTCGCACCCACAGTCTTGCATTGTTACGTACACTATGTGTATAGGTTTGTCTCGATGCACGACTTTACAATAGATATGCAAGGATTGTAACCACGAAAGTAGCACATTGGTATAATTTGCATTATAAGCCTCCAGTAGAATCAGTGGAAAACTAACACATTCTTCTGTCACAGTGGCCTGACGGTCGCAGTTACAAAGGAGACTGGAGGGAGAACAAAATGCATGGGGCAGGAGTTTATGTAGATAAAGATGGTCAAACATACGTAGGCCAGTTCTTCAATGGAATTGGTCCAGGTCTCCTTAATGAGATCCACTGAGATTCTTCCCGATATTCATTAAATACAGTTGCCTTCACGGCCGGGAATATTTTCCCTTGAGGTTTCCAATGTTGAAGGGTTGGATGCCTTTGCTGTAGTTGGTGTTCCATTCTATGGACCCTAAGCAAACTGCAATCCCTGGATTGGATCAGAGGCGAGTTCCAGGATCTTGAACTTGATACACTATAACATTGCGCGAAATAAATCAAGAGTTTCGTCTGATTGCTGTCTTCATTCTCGTGTTCCTGTGGTTTCTAGTTTACATAGCTGCAAGTTTCAGTAATCAATTGAAACTACGCCGAGGTGAACCGTGTCATGACCAGCAAAAGTGGTCTGGCACGAAGCACCATATGTACTCTGGAGTTAACCTCTGTCTTTGACAAACAAGAAGTTCCTCTCGAAGATAATCAAAACTTCAGGCCGAGTGAGAAGCCGGCCTCTACCTAGTCGACATAAGGTCCTCAAATGCAAGATCAATCGGATAAATCGATGATGGAGACTTCCGGTTGTTGAGGTTGTTGAGGTTGTGAGGACGTCGCATCTGTACTGTCTACTCGGGAGGCGGCCTTCCTCCTCTTCCTTTGCCTCGCACTTTTAACAACTGGCTTCTTTCTGCAAAATAGTCAAAGGAATAAAATTGCAAGTAGAGAATACTTCCTAATTTGACCGTCTTTCTCACCAAAAATCCGCAGGGACTGATCTGCAGGTCGGTCCCTGCGGATTTTTGCTGACAAAGACGGTCAAGGCGGATTATGTGGGAAGTCTGACTTCCAGGAAATCATAGGCATATCTTTACTCTTCTTACATCGGAGCTTCGGACTCTGTGGCATACATTTTTCATTCGTGTTTTGAGCAATATGCGAATCTTCTCATAATTCGTGACACCTTTGCCAGACCCATGGACCTTGACACCAAGATGACGGCTTGATGAACTGACCTTGAGTTCAAATAAGCGATGCACTCCAGTACCTCCTCCTCTCGCTCCTTCGGAAAAATTGACCAGGCCTCATCCGGTGCACCATAATCGAGGTTGCTGATGTCTGCAATTCAAAAATAGTTCATTAGCAACTACGCGCTGTTGCATCACTTGCAACTTTCACTTCAATCGTTCGCATGAGACCACAAGTTCAGGCCGTGGAGAAATGCCAATTTAAAATGAAGTCAACTGATTACTTTGGTTGTCAAGGATACGCACCTTGAAGGACAACGAGTCTTCTGTCATTAGCTCCCTTGAGCCTCCAGAATTTGCAACTGTTCTTGTAAACAGCTGCGGGTTCTGATCTCAATGCATCGGATCTCGGACCATCTTCATTCAGAGCACCTCTGTGGGTAAGTATGTGCATCATAAGGACAATATGAAAACTTCAGAAATTTAGAACGAAGCCGGCTTTACTTTGCAGCGTCGGTCATCGATAGCTTACTCAATTTTGCAGCTGTTTCAGTGAGATAACTTTCTCTCGCAGCCAGCTTTGCGAACACCTCCTTCACTTTCGCGAGCTGTTGAGGACTCACAACAGGAACTTTATTATCTCTCTTAGCTGCCAATACTTCCTTCACGTCATTCTCATGTACTTCTCTAGCCTGGACAACACATCATGGTTCATCAGCCCTGCGCGAACAAATCTGCATGTCTTGAGGTAAGAGAGAACCCTTACTCCGTTGGTTCCTATGTGTTGTGTGACTAATGCTTGTAACTTCATTTCTTGTGTACAATCTGTTGTTCCCTGGATTTGAGTTCAGGAGCCTAGATAATGGTAAATGGTGAAAAGATCAAGCCCGTGGGACACAAAGGGTCAAAAGGCTGAAAAACACACTACAAACAATCCAACTCCAACCTAGGAGAGAACCAAAAGAACCCCCTAGCTAGTGCCAAGAGCACTAGAACGGTAACTAATAACATCCTTAATGTAACAACCTAAATCATAAGGCTCAAGCTGAAGCAAAGAATAAAAATTCTCAACAACTTTATGAGCCACTCTAATCTCTATATATCTAGTACAAGTAAGAAACACATGCTCTTCATCCTTAACATTTCTCCCATCACATAGCCTACAAATCCTTTCACTCCTGTCAATATCCAACCAACGTCCTTCCTCAATTCCAAGCCTATGAGATCCTGTTCTATGCCTGGCAATAATATGACGTAAAGATGTAGAGATCTCTGCAACAAGGTATCCTTGCTCACAATAAATAAGCATAGGATTCACATGAAGTTCATAAAACGGTGCTCTTTCACCAAAGAAAAATGAATTCGAGATACTACTTGCAACTGCGCATATCTACTCACGGTGCGAGGCATATTCCGAATAGGACTGTTAGTCAAAGTGGATCGGAGTTCTCTCTTCAAGGATGCGATTATCAGAAGTATAGCATACTGGTTACTCATAATGAGCACACAGAACGATTACAAAACTCAAAAGCAGTGGCGCCACGAGAATCTGTTGCATTTATACCGAGAACAATCTGGAAAAAACCAGTGACATCTACGAACCTGTTTCTTTACAGCAAGAAGCTCCTCCCGATTTTCCTTAGATTCAGTCTCTCGGTTGATTATGACCTTCTCCACGTAATCTCTCATCTTCCTGCCCAGAGAGCAGACACCCGCATTGGTAGTGGATTTTGAAGAAAAGATCATGAAACATTAACCCCTGTCCACAGAGATTAGACGATGAACAGCAGAAACCAGAAAACAGTAATATCAACATGAAACCAGCAGCTATTTGGTTGTAGTGGAAGACATACTTAGTGGTCAATGTATCGTCACAGAGGGAAGCCAAAAGTTGGAGCCTAGTTGTCAGCGACAGGTGACTATAACCTTCAACTCCCCTCTTCAAAGCTTTTACAATGACCGTCATGCTTTCACCGGGTACAGGCCAGAGGGAAATAGGCTGGGGTTTGGTCCCCAATAAAGAGCCTGACGGACGTCTTTCATCGGCCTTCTCTTCACTGATGTGCGTCTCTGGATCTCTCTTTGCTGAAAGGAATTGACCACACAAGTGTCTCTCTAGGTGATAAACCCAGCAGTTCTTGCTTGTTGCTGACATAGCTATATTCGTCCTGTGAGACACAAACACTTGGTAAGGCATGCAATACCATAAGAGCCATGTTCATGGATAAAAGGATAATTCTTGCGAAAAAATTATGCATCAACCTAATGACAATAAGGGAGCACTTACTCGTCATCCACATCGTCCAGTATTATGGACAGTAATTGCACATGTAACTGAACAAGATCAGACTGACCACCTCTACGCAATGTCCCTCCTCGAATCATTTCAGAGAGAATCTTTTGGGCTTTAACTCGCCTAAGTCCAAGTGGCTGCAACACAAATCATCCAATGTGAGTTGTAAGTAATGACTTCTAGATAACTCAAGATATAACCACATCAATAGCTAGAGGATATCTTGTTCAAATTTCACATATTTGGGTTCACTCTCCCTAGGTTTCCACGCAAGATGGTGTTATCTACTATCTGATTTTGTGACGTCATGATCATTGTTACGCCATTGCCATCCACACTTCGTAGGAGAGATCCAGGGAATGGTGTTGATGTAACAATCATTGGTATCTCTTGTTTCATCACCTTCAGATTGAGACGCATTATATACGTACCAGGTGAGAGAATTTTATGACCGCCAAAGCTGAACACCTCGCGGTGATTTACATCTGTCATTCGAAGTGATGGTCTTTCACTTTGTATGAGAACTTGTATAGAGAAGGATTTCCCGCTAAGATGCAGCAGGATCGTGCTACCCAGAATGTGTAGGGAGACAAACGTAACGGGATGTTGTTTAAGTGACATGATGCGTAATTTTCATGTAGAGAGGATATTGGTGTCAAACTCGCAGATCATCTAAGAGAAACTCGAATAAGAGTACTTATCCCTGCCTCCAGAATGAAGCTTTGATAATAACGGCAAAACAAGCTTAATGAGATCCTTGTTGCCACCATATATTGTGTGGACTAATCAGATATTGTCTTCAGAAGTCTAGATTAGACAACAACCGTTTGGTGTAAGTCTCACCCGTGACTCCAAAACTTTATCACGGAGCGTCCGGCACTTAGTTTGTGGGATGGGATTCATGTGAGGGACGGAGATAATGCAAAATTTATGCTCCCTTCTCCATCGTAAATGGAGAAGTATCATAAATCTTGCATGATCATAATATGCTTTCTTTCAAATATGGGGAGTGAGATGTAAAAGGGGAAATGACTGCTACAAAGATTTCAACTTCTGCATGTCTGAAGTACTATGTCAACCTTTTGACATTAACACATGATCAACCTGAACATGCGAGGTAAAGGAAGAAAACTCCACAGGAATCTCCTGCAAGTCTGATGATAGATCCCAACGAAAGAACCAAAGCCTTCCTAAGACAAGAAGCATCCGAATTTCTCAGGACCACGCTTTAGACATGCCAAAATGTCCGATGCTGCAAATGCAGTAACAGTGGAGCGAAGAAAGCAGACAGGAGATCAAATAAGTGTCGGTTAGTGCACAGTAAGCATGTCAATCCGAGATATGTCGCATGCACATCGAACTAGACGAAGACTTGTTGCAGATATACGGATAAATTCAGAAAACGAAAGAAACCAGAGCAATTAGAGCATCTGATCGATGTCAAAGTAGAGGTGCAAGAAGGCAAGGACTTTCCGGCATACATCTTAACGATCATCATCCAAAGCTTCAGAGAGGCACGTTGGACTCAAAAGAAGCTGCAAAAAGGTAACAGGTGGCTTAACGCCCAAACGGTAAGATGTGATTATTCTTCAGGAATTTAAAAAGTTCCAGTCAAGCATTGCATTCCCGAAGCAAAGTTGAGGTGAGAGAGACGAGTCCCAGCAACATCAATCGAAGAGGATGGCGTCAGAGTATTTGGGAGTCTTGCCTTTTCAAAAGCAGAACAGAACTCCAAAATTTGCAAAGCAGTCCCGATGGCTTCCTCAGGAAAATCCAAATTTCCTACTTTCACCAACGGCTCACCGATAGGCAGCACAATATCCTCTTCGGGGCCCTCCTCTTCGAATGCCTCCACAGGCGAATCATCAACGAAATCGGCAGGCAATGCGTTCATATCTTCTTCTGCCACATGAAGCTTAGCTCTCGACTTCCTTTTCTTCTTCTTCTTGCTAGTACCTTCTACGACCACGTCCGTTTCAAGTTTGCAAGCAAAGTCTTGATCTTTCGAATGATGGACTTCGACAGTAGCCCCATTCACCTCAACCTGGGCATTTTTCTTTCTCCCCCTCTTTTTCTTGCTCCTCTCAACCGGTGCAATTTCATCACCTTGAGGACTGATGCACTCTGCCTTCTCGTCACCCTCAGTAGATCCAATCTGATCACCGCCAACAGGCACAGTCGACTCAACTTGGAGTTTCTTCTTTCTCCACGACTTCTTCTTGCCCACCCCAACAGGTGCAATTTGATCACATTCCTGCCGCACGCATTCTGTCTGGCAAAGGTCTGTCCTCACTTTCTCCCCATCCGTGGAAGCTTGGGCAACTCCATTGTCCGTTGCCGGAGCTTCCCTCAGTTTCTGCTTACCACTGCCCTTTGCAACTTCCCCTGTTTGGGAACCTTCACAGCCAAAAACCGATTCCCTGAAATGGTTGTGGAAAGTGGGCTTAAACTCTTTGGATCCACTGGAAACAGCTGTAGTGTCCTCGCGAATATACCGATCCTACATACGATAATCCATGACAGATGAGATCTTTCATGAGTACTAGAAGACATGTAAAGTTGCAAGTCGGAGACAAGTACTGCTGCTGGCAGAGAAACGTCCCAAGCAATGAAACTTAATGTTACAAACGTTCCCGCAGAAGCCTGTGAGTAACAATACCAACTTGAGTTGAGGTAGCATTATGGAAGCTAGAGTATGGAGGCTATATCGAAGACTATCCAGCTTCAGGGACCCATCGACCAGAATTTGTAGAAGCAATAACTTCTTGCTCAAAAACACACCTCACGCATATTTGGGAATTTCTCGAGAAGATCAGCCACTGAGGAGTAACCGGCAGCTTTCGCCTTCTTGGCCAGGCCTCCTGTGGGAGCCAGTCCTCTCTTTTTCCTGAAACAAACGATACCACAGTTAATTACAACACGAGCTTTTCACTTGCGCTGAACGAGGAGGAGCATTGAAACGTCTTTGAGCATTTTGAAGCGAGATCTAGCTACAGCGCAGGACCACGAAATGTTGGGACAACATGAAGATATCACACGTAAAGAAACAACTGATTCATATAGATGTACATGTTGCGAAAGATGACAGTTTGAAGGGGCCTTCAGAGAAGTATTTGTGGTGTCAACTGTCCATTACTAGCACGGAAACTTCCCGACAAATTCAAATTTCAAAACCTTCTGTTAGACTCTTTCACTCCCTGCTACGCGGTCTGAGATTGTTACCCCACAGCATCTGCCATGAGGAGATACGTCACCGGTCACTATTAATCATGTCAGTACTAGGAAGCCATGTTTTCCAGAAATGCCAATAGGGATACTTATTACAGTACATTCAAGTATTCAGCAGATAAAAGGACTCTTCAGGATTTTCCCGAAAAATGACCATTGCGTTTGCCACATGATGATATAATTGCACTCATTTTGAAGATTGGACTTCTGCTTCGATAGGCACATGCTAACAACTACAAGGTTTTGTAAGACTATTCCGCATTCCGCAAGTGAAGGTGGCAGTGAGAATAAGCGACATTCAAAAGCAGCAAACCGTTACTAGCTATATTAAAAATGGAAAAAAAACTACATGAGTTAAGGTAAAATTACTTCAGTAAGGTATAGAGATGGTTGACAACAAAAACTTTCAAGTACTTCTATTGAACTGACCCAAAGTCCAGTATCTTGAAAAGGGAATAAGCAGTAGAAACTTGTCTGCGGTAAGAACTTCGTGAAATCTGTAGTAAGTATTCACACGAAGATGAATGGAATTCTGAATGATGATCGAAAAGCAGAATCTTGCATGCTCTCAGAGAATACAATCCACGTGCAGATGGCCGTGCTACATGCATTAGGTCTCAGATTGATTCAGATCAGCTGATCTTAAGATACCTCCATGCGATTACAAATTTGAGTCCACTCGCTCGAATTGTACGTCAAACTGCGAAGGGCTCTTCTGGAAAGGGCTAGTGTGTTCAATGGGAGAGTGTTCACCTATCATCTCTCCTGACTGACAAACTTTCTGCAATCTCCTTCTTGAGAGACCCTACGTGCCTGCTCAGCTGTCCCCCATACTCATCTCACGTCGCTTTCAATATGGTTCGACCAGAATCTCAAAGAGTTCTCGATAAACAAAAAGTCCAACGAGAACGACATCTTTGGGTGGGAAGCTCACGGTATCCAAACATCATATCCACCATCCTAAGTTTCAGAAGTATGCTTCCTCGAGACATGAATAATTGGCACTGCCGAAAAATCTTGAACTGACCACCTCCGAGCAAGAAATCCATGTTCGCTCTCTTCCGTCAGGGCCGTGTCACTTCGCACAACACTCGCACGGAAGATTTGAAACAATGACTAGAAAGAATCGTACCACTCCTCTGACAGTGCAGGCCTTGAAAACTTTGGCTCTCGTCAATGACCCGCCGTCAACGGGCAATTTTCTGGCGGTGTAAATACCCGCAGCCAAAACACGAAACACTATCTACGCCAGTGCATGGGAGTGTGTGTGCAAAACTGTTGGCATTTCAGGATGGACACGTTGCAGGTGGTCACACGAATAATGAACTCAAATGAACTGAAATGACTTGACATGATATTACAGGAAATGCGTTATACTCCACGGGCATGTTCGTTGGGAAGTAGAAGCGGACTCCACATCCGTCACGCTTAATGCGTGCTGGAGTCCTACATCTCATCATCATTCCTTCTCGAAACTTTACGGTAAAATATCGTAAATTCGCTTAATGCATACCTACTTTAAAGTCGGTTCAACATTTTCTAACGTGAAAATGGACCGTGTCAGGTCGGCTGATTATGAAGGAAAGTAAAGAGTGTAAGGAGTGTAAGGAGATGAAGTTCGCATTAATATTTCAGATTATTACAAACCGACAACTGTCGTGGGTGAGCTTCAGTTTATGTTCGGTCACAGTCACTACCCTCCGGCAGGGTGGGCGTCTTGACTTATTAGAGGATTGGGATTCAAAGGTTGGGGAGTGATCAGATCATGTTGAACACAGAAGGGTGGACACGATATTAGCTGGGATGGCAAGAAAGTACTCGTTACGAACATTCCGAGTTCTGGTGGCATTAATTTAACTCACATGCACATGCTGCAATTGCAGATTCCCCTACAGCGGGGGCAGCTCCATGCTTGTAGATCTTCTACCTCGGCGACTATTTCCCCATACCTGTTATAACACGTGAACCTTAGCGATAGATTCTGCTTGAGTGCCAACACGACAAAACAAAACGAAACAAACGCTTAATCTTGACCATCCCATCCTCGCAACAGAAAAAAAATGCTGGCTATATATTGCATCTCCCAGCGTCGGACACAAGTACGAACCTTCCAACTTCTCCATCTACTCTCAATGAATTCTTGGCATCCCCTTGAACACGTCGTGCGACGCTCTATAGACCATATTTCTGAACTGGAGCTGACAACTTGTCAAATACACATCCTATCGTTCGGCTATACGTTTGGTCGAAGCACGAGATATATAATGTAGATTTGGATTCCGCAATTTGAATAGGAACTATGATTCCAGAGTACGTAGAAACATTACCTGTTGCGCAAGCACTTCCCACAGTATTTTTGAGTACACGCTCTTTTTCCTGCGGTATTTTTGCAATAGGCTAAGGAGGTGTCGAGTCTTTGCCGGCACTGTCAGTCACAACGAAACCTTCAGCTTTGGACACGTATTTGATAGGTTAGAGAGCAGGAAGTTTTTGCATATATTGCAACATTTATATTCGTGTTTATGACCTCGTTACTGTTAGTCAAAAGTTCTACCTGATGACATGTTGTCAACAACTTTGCCTGGATGGGCACAACTCCATCTGCAACGAGCAGTGGAGATGGCAGAGTCAGTTGAGTGGATGATTCTGGTTGCACAGGGAATTCTGCTGGTTGTTTTCTCTTCTTCCCACCGTTGGGACTTTTCACTCCGTTCCCACTTTGTACCTCTGAGCCGTGATTCTCCTTGTTGTCCAGTTCAGCGAGCTCAGTAATTGGACTAGACTGCAGCTCTACTGATTCATTATCGCCATTCTTGAGCTTGCGCTTCGCTTTGGCCGGCTGCTCACAGGGGACTAGATCCATATCATCCCTTAGCTCTGCATGGGTTCTAATGTCGATGTGCGGAAAACTGCCATCCACAGCTCCTCCAATTGTACTTCTCTTCGTGAAAGACGGTGAGGCTTGAAAACACTTGGACTCGAAAATGGAAGCACCGCCGGCATCCTCTACAGCTAAAACACGCTTTCTAGAATCTTTCATCTTCTTGGATTCCGGGCTTTTAGATGGAGATAGCATGGGGCTGTGATCTACGCTACTCAAAGATGCCTTGCCTCCATCTCTCGAAGATGGCCTGCAAGTAGCTGCTTCCGTTTCCTCCTCGCTGTCCAGAACTATAATATTGTCGAAGCAGTGAACATTCGACGGTGTTGAGCTCGGACTTATTCTCCGCCCTTCCTGGAGATGAAAAGCCATCAACACGTGTGATGCACAATTCCTACGACAATTCTTACAACGTTAGATGGTTTTACATTGCATGGCGAACCTTTCAGTCATAGTTATGTTCAAGACGACCGAGAAAAGACGAATACAAAAAACTATCCCGTTTACACATTTGATGCCCACAAGTGTTGCAGAATTTCCTTTCAGAGTTCGAGAAAACAAAGAATATCGATCCCTCAGAAGTATCAAGTTGAACGTGTCTGATCCAGGATACCGCTGCTAGATTCAGATCCCAGACATCAGTCCGATGCCTCAAGGTACTCAATTATATTTCCGAATTTGCCAATAGAATTTGGACCCCCAACTCAATGGATCAATGTGTGCAGAGAAGTGATATACAGCACCGAGGAACCACAGAGCATTAATGAGAGTTCAAAGCGACGTCATAGACCGACGAATGAAAGAGATCTCAGGACTGTTGCAGCTGCAAACTTACAGCAACGGCGGGTACAAAAGAACCAGCTTGCGAATCTTTGGGGCGGGCCATTATGAAACCACTGCGCAGAGGATTCCACAAACTAGTTCACTCGCGACGGTTGCACCAAAAAACATCAGTCTGATTTCATGCTGTCCAATTGCCTGCATCGGGAAACCGTACGGTGAAGTATATTAGTGGCCAATTCTTTGTAACCATGAATCTTGAGTATCTGATCTACGGCTAGTAGATCACAGATCACACACTCTGACCATGCTGGACGTGATTGGGCCAAAAGTAAGGGCTCCTGCATACAAAGAGAATTGATTCTAAATGCAGGTACAATGTGAAAACCCTGAGGATTAAGACAATTTTGTACACCACAACTCCGTAAACTACTTTCAGAATCCCCAAGTGCCTGAGATCCATCAGACTGTCAGAGAACTACTGCTTCATGAAATCGTGGCTTGTAATAATGAACTAAATACAGGGGAAAAAACGACTGTTGTAATACGGAGCAAGAGAGGAATCCCCTGATTGAAGTCTCGGCAGAAATCGAAGATTTCTTACGTAATGGGCTCTACGGCAGACTGTACTCTAGTTTGAATCAACAATGCCAGGCAGAACTAAACTGTATCAGAACCGATTACTAAACGCCTGTGCTGCAAGCAAGCGAGTATCGACCAGTCTGAGCGTACAGAGTGGTGGACAGGAAATAACAGACAAGGCATCACTCAGACTGTCCAAAATCTTCAAATTCAGCCGCAAATCCGTTCCTCACCAAGCAGAATTCCGTCACAACCCTAAATAGAAATCGGCAATTGGACTCGCTAATTGCAGCCAAACCTCATGAGCATGAAACAGACGAGGTTTTTCTTCACATCTTAGAAAGAATATATTCAGGAGCTCATAATTTCGTACGGCCCGAGACAGCAAGACGATCCGCAGTCAAATTCAAGCATCAAAAGCAGGACATATACGATCAATCCATCTGCAGAAGGGGGGGGAAACGACCCAATGGCGCGAGAATCCACTTCGCTGCTCCGTGAATGTGAGCACGGCCGGGCACAAATTCAGACAGCGAATTTTGGAGTCAGGTCTAATCGACCGATGATAGTGGGAATATTTGCTATTTGACCAGCCAGTAAAAGCCAATAAAACACGTGATATGAACTAATTCGGTCTCATGTGAGAATTGCATCTAATGATGCCAGAAACAGTGCACCATGATTTCGCTAGATTATCATTGAATGACACACTAGCCACAAGAATGGAGGCACCGCCAACGGGTTCCGAAAAAACCAATACCCTCTCTACGATCTCTTCCCGCCAGATTTCCAGGCCTTTGAAAAGGCGGGGCAACTACCAATTGTACCCCTTTGACCCCTGACGTGTCCGCCTCCCATTCGCCCAGCCCTTCTCGTGTTCTGGCGACGGCTCCGCCAGAGAGAGATTCGTACCGGCGAGTGCCGCATCACCCAGGACTGTACTTTACGTCCGTTCCCGTCCGCCTCTTGCCTGAATCCCATCGACTCCGACGACGAGAACTCCGGTCCACGCGTTCTCCACGACCCTTTGCTTGCTTCGCGGGGCCCTGCATCACACATTCATTCCGCACGCTCGTTTCTTCATGGTCTGGACGCCATTTTTGACTGACGACATTCCACGCCGAAGAAAACACTTCGACTCTGGAGCTTTACGATGGGTCCATCAAATGCTCATCATCACACTTCGTCGGCAATTTTGCGGCTGCATGTAGTTCGGAAACAGTTCATTAATTTTGCAGCGTAGTTTTAGGATTGTACGTTCGAAGAGGGGGGAGCAAGTGAGAATGATTGTGCTTAACTTGGGCTAGCTTTTGTGAGAGATTGAGGACGGTTTGATGAGTTGGTCCAACATTACACTTCGCCAGCAATACAACCGAAAGTTCCTTATATAGAGAGTCTTGCTTGTGTATCATTAATCTCATATAAAACAACTTGAAGATTTAACGAGACTCAATTTTTGGAGAGATGATTTAAAACAAATTAAAGTTATTTTCTCATCATTTATCAATATATTCAACTAAAGTATACACTACTTTAAGTCCACATTTCCCGGCAGTATCATTATTGTCAAGAGTTTATTTTACATAAAATCGAATAGAGTCTTTTGCGGGTATTTTCAATTCGTTACCAAGTTATCACGGACCGGCCGATATGTAAAATGTGGTTGAGTATGAATTGTGCAACCTTGGTTTGATTTATATAATTAGATGAAAAATATGGCAAAGATTTCAGCTCACTAATATTGATGTCCAGATTGATTGCACTCTCTAAAGATTGAAATATAACATCGCACTCATCAATATCATCATGGACCAAGGTTGGTTCAACTCCATCGTACTCGAATTCGATGACAAGCTACTAAAGAAGTACTTCACCCATTGCTTATTCAATCTCTTCAATAAGATTTTTTTTGAAGCTTAGTCGTTGTTCTCATCAATCACACTTTGTTCAATCTTACCCCAAATGTCAATATCGCAATTGCCATTCAAGAGATTACAATTGTTGAGCAAACAAGCAATTTTGTCCACGGTTTTATCATTATCATTGCCAAGGTCGACATTTCGAAATGCAAAAATAATATTTGACTTTTTGAATCAATTTCTCAAACTCTTAGTGAAAATTTTGTTCCAAGCAATGTTAGCAAAGTCTGCAACGTCCAACAAATGTAGAGGACGTCCGTAAAACATCCTTGCAGCACCCTGCTTCAACTTTGATGCAACTGTTGTCACTTGATACTTCAAACTTTACGAATTATCGTGATAGGCGATCATTTACTTGAAAACAAATACTCGTATCGCTATTTCAATGCTACAATGATGCCCATGTCTATTGGTTGCTTTCACGATGTAACATTTGGCGGAAAGAACACCACGCGGATACCATTCTTCTCAAAGGCAGATGAGTGACCAAGAGCGTTATCAAAGATCAAGAGAACCTTATGACTAGTACGTTTGCAAACATATGGCTCAAAAACCTCATCAAACCACTTGTTGAACGTCAACACGTCAATCCATGCGTTCTTTTGTTGAAGATACAGAATTGGCCAGGTGTTGCCTAAAATACATGCGGGCTCCTTCGTCTTTCCGATCATGGTGATTGGGACTCAATTGGTCCTTGTGGCATTGCAACAAACCACAAAAGTCATGCGGTATTTCGCTTTTTTCTTGCCTCGTATTGTTGACGTATCTTCATTTGGCATCGAGACGATGTAACTTGGAACAAGTCGAAGGAACAATCTATATTGTACACGCAAGCTGGTTCATATTGGTTGATAATTACCCATAACTCATCCAAAGCTCGCAAAGTTTCAGGATTATTTTTGTCAACCTCACCGCCTTCATCAAACAAGTTTGTGCCACCTAAACCAAACCGATGATGAAATCTCAAAAATCATCATGATGAAGCCTTGAAATTATCAATTTGTTTTGCTTTGTGACATATGAGACTAAGTGGCAAAACAAGCAATACTCGGCGTCCAACATCAACCCATTCGTACAGCAGTTTCTCAAGTTAAGGAAACAATGACTACAAATCGTGAAATATGGATTCATGAGTGGCTTGATCAACCCTTTGGGCTGGTTCGCAAATCTCACATTTACTTGCTTTCAATTTCCAAATGATCTTCTTGTCGACGTCATATTGTATGTAAGAAGAAATTATTTTAGATTATTAAACTATTTTGAATTAGGTTTGTATGTTCACAAAACTTTTAACTATCGATATCAATTGATTTTAACCTCACCATGATATTGTGAACGAAAAATCCAGAGAACATTAAACACTCATGAGAGACAGATGTAACATGGTTCACCATCAGAGAAGAACTACGTCCACCCACAACTTGAGCACCTTTACTTTAGGTCATGTCTAGAAAGACTTGCAATACAATGAGAACTCCGAAATACTTATTCCCAGTCTAGATTAAAGGTTTTAGTTGTAAATAGCTAGGACCCGAAGTTACTCTTTAACTGGAGTTAACCTCAACAATCCACTCCTTAACTCACATTAAGAAATAGTAACCTCTATAACCTACATCATTATTCTCTGGGAAGTTCTAAACACAATCCTAATATAAAGCCCCTCTTTACACAAGAGTTAACTATAACTAAGCTGTAGCCATAACTAGAGAGAGTAATAACATAAAGAGTTAACTAAAAACCAACTAGCATAGACAGAACAGAAATCTCGTAGCCTTTATAATTACTATGCGGAAAATTCTAGAAAGAAGTCTAATACAAGACTACTCTTTACAAGAGAGTTAACTAGAACTAAGTTGTAGCCATCACAAGAAAGAGTAAATATATAAAGAGATAATTGAAGATACTATGTTAGCAAACTTTAACTCTACTCTTCATGCACAACCTGCATGATAGCACATTGTCGCTTCAAACTCTTCAAAGAAGTAACTTTGATCAACGCATTAGTTGGATTACACTTACCGTCTATCTTGATTAGCTCAATCACCAAAGTTTACCGTCAAGATGGGCTAGCACAATTACCAAAGTCTATCGTCAATCTTGACTAGCTCAATTATCATAATTTAACGTCCAAATTAACTAGCTCAATCATCACAATCTACTATCCATCTTGACTAACTCAATTTTTTTATCAAACACTCTTGTCTTATACAATACATGATATCGTTGTGCTTCACGGTATTGAAAATAACTTGTACCGTGCACATCTTGATCATTAATCACATAATGATCAAACTTCCTCACACCTACATACCGGTGTTCATCTCGATCATTAATCACAAAATGATCAAAACTCTCCACATATATATTCGTGAGCAAAAATTTTCAAATGACAGTACAAAGATAGTGACAATTCTCAAACTTTTTCAATAAACAAGGCTCATTGAAATACACACACCCACTAACATAAACCTTACAATCTATGATGTTCGCGACTGACTATCACCTATGACTATCTGGCACTTGGGACTAACTCTTACAGTTGCCCGCGACTGACTATGTCCACAACTGATTGTCATGTGTGACTAACTCTCACGGTTGCCAGTGACTAATTGCGCCTGCAACTAGCCCTCGTGACTTACTATAATGCATGACATTTCTTCACCGTTTTCCGCATCTAATTGCGTCCGCAACTAAACTAAATTATCGCCCACAACCCACTACGCCATCGACTTACCAAAAACGTTGTTCAAAACTTACCATCTGTCACCCACGACAACCGTTGTTCGCGACCGTTGTCCACAACTTATCGTCGCCCACAACAAACATTGCCCGCGATCATTCTTCACTTTCAATCCAGATTTTCGACCTGTTGCGTTGTTATCTCAGACCGCCAAGAATCTAGATAGAAAATTAATTTTTTGAGCAATTTTTTTCGGTCTGTATCATCTTTTAGCTCTTGAAAATGATCCACAAGCTGTAGTTGCGTCAAGAGCATTCAACGATATACAATTTGTCTATATTATGATGAAAAAATATTTCTAAGATATATTTATGACAGAATATTACTTCACCGTTGTTTCCGACCGTCACCGCCCGTCTATGCGATTATTGTCACCGTTGGTCGATCGTTGACTGCGTTGCCCTGCCGACCATATGTTGGACTCTTGACCACGACTACAACCACGTTGAGCTTCAATCGGGATTATGACCGCGACTGCAATCACAACCACTTGCATCCTTACCACGTTAACCTCTACCATCCGTGCCGATCACCTTAACTACGTTTGCCGTTTAGGATTTGTTGACATGGGTATATGATATGTTGCTGATACCCTAAACCCTGATATGCTTCACCGTTCGTAGATGCCCTCACGGGGTAGAATCCTCCACTCAACGACTGCCCTCGAGAAATTGTATCCTCGCGGGAAGCACTACATGATGTCCATCCTGTCATAATCGCACGGGAGGGGGAGGTGGGCACCTGCATTTCCGGCGTTGCGAGTACTCCGCTCGACAACTGCTCTCGGCTTGTAACTCGCACAGCGCTCGTACCATTCGAGGGGTACTACAGCGGACTCTACGACTTGCGAGGGAGAAAGCAAACCCTGCTATTTGGTCCTCTGGCCTTCCCTTGACCTGCATGATTGCCAATACTCGGCCGCTCCGACCTAAGAAGGAGAAAAAACGGCCGCACTGCACGGTTTGAGGGTTTGCACGCTCTGTCACGCATGGTTAGTTCAGCCGCTCCGGTTGGCTGCTGCTAGACAATTAGACCGAAGCGAGGAACATTAACCATCCACAGAAACATAAACACGGCCTAGCGTCGCTTTCCGCTTCACTTGCGCGTGATCTCGCTCCTATGCAATTGTCTCTAATGCTCCCAATCAGTTGTATTTTGTTGCTATCAAGAAATGT